GAAAAAAGACAAAAAAGGAAAAAAAAAAAAATACTGTTCAAAGCCTGGAGTCGCACTACATGGGACACAAGAAAAGCTTTACACTCATAACTGATTGGAGACAGAGAAGGGTTTTTCCTGCTTCTCTTTTCTGACTCTCTGCCCACTCTTTTCCTCTCACTCCTGCATCTGTTTCTCTCCTCCCCTCTAGCTCTGTGCTTTCCTCTCCACTCTCGTCTTCATGTTTTCTCCCTGTAAGAGAATACTACAGCCAACCACTCACCAGCCCCACGGCCCCCTCCCAGCCGTGCTGTGGATCCTCATGGGTTATTCAGCTGTACAGGGTTCTACCCCAACCCCTGCCATGACTGTTGACCCCAGTTACCCTGCAACTCCACTCTGCTCTTTGGTCTAGAAAGGAACCAAAGCCATTGTCCAGCCGCAGGGAGTGGACCATATATAGAATCAGTCACCATATTGGTGACAAATTGTGGAGGGGGCAAGCAATGGTCTGGAAATCCAGCTGTCTTTTTTCCATGATGTCCTGCTGGGAGGGAGGAAGGAGAGAAGGATGAGGTGGGTGTGGAAAACACAGTTCCCCTGTGGACAGGACTCTGAATGGAACAGCCGGGGAACTATAGGAGCAAGTGTGGCCATCAGTAGAGCTGTCATCTTCCCAGCTCGTCTCCTTCCTGCCCATAGTGCAACTGCACCTCTCCCTGCCTTTGAAGTAGGCGTGCCCTCGTAGCTGGCTTTGGCCAGTGAAGTGTGAGGGGAAGGGTCATGTCAGTCTTTGGGGTGGATGTGTTCAGGTCTGGTGTACAGTTCACGATGTGCTCTTCCCACTGCTGTGGTGACCCACGTGTCAGGATGAAGCCTCCCTCAGCCTGGGTCCCCGAGGTCATGCCATGAGGAGAGCTCCCTACCAGCATGTGCTAGACTAGCACCACATCAGTGAGCAAATGTGCTTTTGTCTTGTTAAGCTGCTGGGATCTGGGGGTTGTTACCACAGCATAACCTGAGTCATGGGAAGAGTCAGCCATGCTAGGATGCTTTGGCCTGCCGGTTGTAAACATAATTATTCTGCCTCATGTTTTCTTTTTGTGTTTTCCCTTAGTACCTGAGTCTTGTCTTTTTTTAATGTGTTCTCCTTTCTTCTGCTGTGAAGAGACCTTTTCAGTGCTTTGGCCAATTCTTTTCTTAAACTCTTTACTAGAGTAAAACATACATATGAGAATGTACTTAATCACAGAAGTAGAGCTTGATACATTTTCAAAAAGTGAACACACAACACAGCCAGCACCAGAAGGTTCCCCATTCACCCTGCAGCCATTCCCTGTGCTTCCCAAGAAGTAATGCTCTCCTTATCTCCAACACTGCAGATTGGTTTGCCTGTTTATGAACTTTATGTACATGGAACCATGTAGTTGCATTGTTATTTCATGTCTTCCTTCTTTGAGCCACATTGTGAGATGCATCCAGGTTGTGTGTAGCATTAGTTCATTCACATTCATTGCTGAATAGTATTCCATTGTATGAATGTACCACATTGTATTTATCCATTCTACATTTGACTTGCTTCCTTTTATTTATTTATTTTTTTTGCTATTAACAGTGCTGCTATAAACATGTTTTGGTGCACGTATATAAGCATTTATTTGATGGACACATATCTAGGAGTGGAATTGCAGGATCAAAGCCTTTGCATATGGTCAGCTTTAGTAGACTGTCA